GCCCACGATACCTTTATTTGGAACGAAGACGAAAACGCAGACGACATTTCACAAGTCCTGAAGAAGTTCGACGAATTCTGCATTCCTAGGACACAGGTCATATATGAACGCTATAGGTTCAACAACCGAAACCAGGAACCAGGCGAAAACATCTCGACGTATCTTACGGAGCTTCGAACGATCGCAAAAAACTGTGCACACGATACAATCACACCAGATGAAATTTTGCGTGACCGCCTCGTGCTAGGCATACGGGATGATCGCGTCCGCGAGAGACTTCTCCGTTTGAATGATTTATCTCTCCTACAAGCAGTTGACATTATTAAGTCGTCAGAACAGACCCAACAGCAAGTAAAGCTAATGGCTGGAGGAGACACTGCAGTTCATGCGTTACGGAAGGCGGGATCGGCAGAAAAACCTGAAGAAGAACGACAACTTAAGTCACAAGCATTTAGAAGACCGTCTAAAGAATGTGGAAATTGCGGAATGGTGCATGGACGTCATTGTCCCGCGTATGGAAGAACATGTTTTAACTGTGGGAGTATGAATCATTTTGCGAATAAATGTCGCGCTAATCCCCGAGGAGTGAAAAGTAGAGTTTCGGCGGTCCACGAAGCCGTCGACATGGGAAACGACCCCTACTACATTGGTGCTACTACTAGTAAGAGCAAAGGCCAGGAAAAATTGGCAGTGGTCAAACTCCACATTTATGGGCCAGATCCCAAGACAGAAGTCCAGTTTCAAATAGATACTGGGTCGCAGTGCGACATTCTCCCGGCCCAATTATACAAGCAAATCACTGGGGACACCCTCCTTCATCGCCTCAAACCATGCCAAAAGGAAATAGTCTCGTACACAGGGGATCGCCGCAAAATTGCTGGTAAAGCTACCCTGCCTGTGTGGTCCCGTGGACAGCGGAGGTCAATGGAGTTTAACATCTTAGACGGAGACTATCAACCGATTTTATCATTGAACACCAGCCTCAATCTTGGCTTTGTGAGTTTGCATAATTGTGACGTCCTAGCATTACACGTCAAGTGTCCCAAAGCCTCCTTGCTCGAAGAGTATGAGGACGTATTCGACGGATTAGGGGCCCTACCGGGAACATACAAAATAGCCATAGACGAACAGGCGCAACCAGTTGTCCACGCACCGAGGCGAGTGCCAGAAGCCTTGCGTCCATGCATCAAAAACAAGCTGGACGAACTTGTTGATCGTAAAGTTATTATTCCAGTAACAGAACCGACGCAGTGGGTATCCAGCATGTTGGCCATAGTGAAGCCAAACAAAGTACGCATCTGTATTGACCCGAGAGATTTAAATCGTGCCATTCGGCGAGAGCATTACCAGTTGCCGACTATCGATGAAGTGGCCTCCCGATTAACAGGTGCCAAGAAATTTACTCTTTGTGACGCCAAGGATGGTTTCCACCAAATCCTCTTAGACGATGCTTCTAGTTTTCCTGACAACGTTCAATACGCCTTTTGGGCGTTATAGATGGGCCCGCATGCCTTTTGGTATCTCAAGTGCGCCTGAAGTTTGGCAGCGACGCATGCATGAATTCGTAGAAAATTTAGAAGGAGTTGAAGTTATCGCTGACGACTTCCTCATCGCTGGATTTGGCGAAACTGACGCAGAGGTCAACTCGAGCCTTTGAAAAGAACGAACGTGCGTTCTTCAAGAAATGCCGGGAGTGGAACCTCAAGCTCAACAAACTCAAGCTGAAAAGATCTCAAACCGAAGTGCGTTTCATGGGCCACCTCTTGACTCCTGATGGTCTAAAGGCAGACCCAGCCAAAGTTGAAGCTATTTTGGATATGCCACCGCCGACTGATGTGAAAGGCCTGAAGAGGTTTTTGGGGATGGTCAATTATCTGGCCAAATTCTTGCCACTCCTGTCCGACATGACAGAACCTTTGCGAAGGCTTGAGGACAAGGACGTCGAGTGGTGTTGGCTTGCACAGCATGAGAAAGCATTTACCACAGTCAAAGAATACTTGGCCAAGGCCCCGGTACTGAAATACTATGATGTTACTGAAGAAGTGACAATCCAATGCGATGCCAGCATAACGGGTCTAGGTGCAGTACTGATGCAAAAGGGTCAGCCCGTTGCCTTTGCCTCGCGAGCTCTGACCGACACCGAAACGCGTTACGCTCAAATCGAGAAAGAGCTCCTCGCCATAGTGTGGTCAACCGACAAGTTCAATCAATACATACTGGGACGCGAAGTTGTACACATCGAGTCTGACCACGAACCACTAAGGGCAGTTTTACCAAGCCAATACACAACTCACCAAAGAGACTCCAGAGAATGCTGATGGCCCTTCAGAATTACTCCCTGGATGTGCAGTATAAAAAGGGGAACTTATGTGGGTATCAGATGCACTGAGTCGAGCATACCGCAACACCACCGAAGCCTCCAAGCACGATACAAGTCTGATCTGTACACTTGCCGAGATAGATCATTCAGAAAACCTCTCGATTGCACCATACAGGCTCGCTGAATTCAGAAACGAGATTGCCAGGGACCCAGTGATGCAAAAGCTAATCGGAGCAATCAAGGGTGAATGGCCAGTGTCAAGGAAGTCCTGTACCCCTGAGCTGACGCCTTACTATGACAAACGAAGTGAGCTTATAGAAGACAAGGGACTAGTATTCCTGGGGGGAGCGATTGCTGGTACCCCTTCCCTGAGAAAAGAAATGTTGAAGCAAATTCACCGATCACATATTGGAATCGAAGGGTGTTTACGTCGCGCTAGGGAGGTCCTCTATTGGCCCCTCATGAATTCGGAAGTAAAGGACTTTGTTTCCAAATGCTCAATCTGCCAGTCGTACCAGCCAGATCAGTGCCGCGAGGAATTGCAACCGTATCCGATCCCGTCGCGTCCCTGGTCGATGCTAGGTGCCGATTTTTTTTGACCTTGGGCAACAACATTTCTTTGTCCTAGTCGACTACTGGAGTGGGTTCTTTGAAGTCCAGGAGGTTAAGGTGGCCACATCTGCTAGCGTGATAGCTGCGTGTAAAAGTACAATTCGCCCGCCATGGGATACCAGACGTGCTTATTACCGACAACGGACCTCAGTTTACGTCATCGGTGTTCAGTGCATTCGTGAGAGAATGGCAGTTTGAACATAGAACTGAGCCCCGTTACCCCCAGTCAAATGGCCGCGCCGAGAATGCCGTGAAGACCTGCAAGAACTTGATGACGAAAGCGAAAGCGGATGGGCAAGACCCGCTGTTAGCCCTTCTTGATTGGCGCAACACCCCAACAGAGGGTCTAGGAACATCACCCGTACAGAGACTGATGGGACGCGCACACGCACTTTCTTACCAACCCATGAAACGCTCCTGCGGCAGCCATCACACCAGGAAACAGCCACCAAATTAGCTGAGCGCAAGAAAAGACAAGCTCAACAATACAACAAAAAGTTTCGCCCTTTAGAGGCACTAAAGTGTGGACAGGCCATCAGGATGCGGCTTCCCGTAAGGGAGGAATGGAGTCTGGGGACCTGCATGAAAGCCTTGGGGAACAGGTCTTATGAAGTTGAAGTTTGCGGCAGGCGATACCGACGCAACCGTCGGCAACTGCGCCTGACCCCGGAAACAGCACCACCTATGAGTCTGGTAGAACTAACTCCGCCCGAGTCTACCCTCAAACCGGCGCCAAATCTGACAGAGCCAGGACCTCCTCCACCGGAGTTCCATGGCGAGACCAAAACAGAGAGAATGCCACCTAAAAATGAGATGGGAACTGAGCTTGAGCCACAAAGGATGGAAACTCGTCGATCAGAACGCAGACGTCGACCGCCTTTGTGGCATCAGGATTACCATATGAACTGAACATTGAATGATTGAGCCGCTAAATAGTTGTTGGGTTCTGTTTCTATCTTTTTATGATTTCAATGAAGAACAATGTTTTATCGATTTTATGTGATTTGAAGAGTGATCGAAACCGAACATTAAGTATTAATTAACTTTTGAAGATAAACTTTGTAAAAAGGGGAAGATGTCGTGATATTGCGTTACACGGTCACGCCACTGGGCCGATGAACATCTTTATATTTAGAAGACTTACGAGACAACGAATAGACACGTGGCGGCAGTCGAGTTCGCACAATAAACAACCCTTTTGAGTTCACAGAATCGTGACACTTTTTGTAGAGAACTTCTTCTCAAGTATGAGAGGTGGAAATACGATCACACCTACAGTGCTAGATTTCTGCCGGCGTTTCCCAAGATGTACAAATGAATTGCTCAAACGAGTAACGAAGAATCCATTTAACCACTTTACTAATCCAAAGGCTTCCTACTATGTGCAGCCCTCCATGAAAGATGTTCTCATCCAGTTCTCGGAATTAGCGAAGCTACCGAAGCCAAGTAAGGGTTCTTAGCACCAAAGCAGATCACTGAGCTTCGACAGTGGGCGTCAATCAATGGAAAAAGTGTCCGTCAAAACACGACAAGAAATTTCTCAACCAAAGACAAACCTGGAACACTTCCGTTGAACGTCTACGAA